CAAAGCAGAGCCCGGGGAACCCGCAGCCGTCGCACCAGCAGCTCCTGGGGTGTAAAATCTGCGGCAGCCGGAGCGAGGCAGGCGCCCAGCTATTTCATGGGAGCTGAATATTATTTCAAGGAGGGAGGCGAGGGGCGAGGGGGTGAATTAGTCTGGTAGCCAGAAATGCGGGTTCCCGAACAACAATCAAACTTTATTTTAACTTTCTCTCCTTCCAGCTTCCCTTTCCAAATGCGCATACGCTTTTACTTTACAGGGGATCTAAATGCTTTATTAACTGCTGAGATTACAAACCTCATTTGGAATTGGGGTTTTTGGCCAGAGTATACTTTCGGTCCTTGGAAAATTGCCCACATGTGTAACTTGTTTTTGCTTCTCTTCAGACAAGGAATTCCCCCCCCTCCCTCCCTCCCTCCTCACCACTTACGGATTTTTAACAGACGGCAGCATTCAAACCCAGCGCTAGCACAGGAAATGGCAAAGGTAGATCCTTCGGCTTTTAGGCTACAGAAACTTATTTCACTTTTTTTTTTTTAAAGGTTTTACTCTTCAGGAGGGATTTTTTTTCTTTTTTTGTTGCGCTTTCGTGCGTTAGGAGGGGTCCGTGACTGAAGTTTCTTTCATAACCTCTTAGACCTGCCTAAATGTATCATTCATAAATTATGTTTGCTTTATGCTGAGGTTTTATTTTTGTTTCCTGGCTCTTAAAAAAAAAAAAAAAAGTTATTCGCTTGTTGTTGTTGTGATTATCCCTATTATTGTTATTAGTATAATTTCGGAATGTTTTATATCGCGTAAAATAAACGCTCAGCCCTTTGAAGGCTGGGTTATCTCAGAATCTGGTCTCCAGACTCTCCATAGCCATGAAGTTCACTCTCAGCTTTTATCCTCTCCTAGCGTATCCTTATCGGCTTCCAAACCCAAAGTGGAGAAGTAAATACACCCCAAGTGAGGCAGGTTACCCCCGCCGCCGCGTCGGCCTCCGGGGGGACAGAGCCCGGCGAACCCCCCCGGCCTTGCCCTGTCCCTGCATGGGGACGGGGGAGGCTCCGCACCCCCAGGTCCCCTCCGCCTTCCCCGCACCGGTGGTAAAGGGGCAAAATCAGCTGGAAGAAGGTGCCAGTTCTAATAAATGATAACAGCCCTCTTTAAAAAGCGGTTAAATATGTTTCCGGTAAGAAATGGCTCATCCGCTCTTTTGGATTTCTTACGCCAAAACTTATAAATCAGTAAAAGGTGGCAATTGCACAGGCTTAAAATCTGCCTATTACGAAAACATTTTCTATTTGGTTGTTTTCAGCTTAGAAATGCCAACCCAAAGAGTTGTTTGTTAAGGATAGATTTTGGCAATTGTGTATGTCAAAGCGCTCTTTGGAAACGATTCCTTCTCTCCACAAACAATAAAGATTATTTATAAACAGCGTCTGAGCTCAGAAGCCCCTGGCTTTCCATGGCAAGCTGACAATACTCCCAATTTTTCCTCACAGCTAAATACACTTGGTGCTGATTCTGAAAGCAGGAAAGTTTCCTCTTCGGACTTTTTTTTTTTTAATAACTATTTCCAGTTCCACTTCCCTTTACCAGCTCACAACAATCACATATCTAAGATTAATCTAGTTTGGGAACCGAGCGCAGCTCGCACATCCTGCCTCCGCTCTCCCAAAGATTCCTCCTTTTAGACTTTTAGACTCTGCTCCGAGGTCACTTTCTCCTCGTCTTTTCCTTCCCCAAGATTTTTTTGCAAACAGAAGAGCTTTTCATGTCATTTCTGATGGGCTCTATTTGGGGTTTTAAAATATAAACGCCCATGTAATGTCACCCACAGCACCCGGAGCAGGTCTCTCCAAGCGGGCAGACCGGGGATGAAGCTGTAGTTTGCCTTAAGCCCCTCTCAGAAAAGGCTACAGAGAGATGAGCTATGGGGATATGTATAAAAAATAAACTACTGAACAAACGGAAACCTCCAGAGGAGCAAAAGCAAATGGATTTTGCAGATCTTCTTGTGAGGTTTCCATTCACTGGGGATCTGAAAACCCTTGGTTTCTGCCTCAGAGCCACACTCCTAGGAGTCTTCTTGGTTTAAATTTATATACTACAGAAAATTATATACTCACATGCTGACATAGTTCATCATTATTTATAGGAGGCGCACCAGGATTTTTTCCAAGAATATATTTATTACAGGTAAGACACGGCCAATCTATCTGGCAAACAGAGAACAGGTGTTTTGCTTCAATTAACGTTCAATAATTTCATCTATACTTATTCAACACCCTGCTACCAACACGGCTGTTTATCCATCAGTTGTATAAACACATTTCAATGCGCCAAGCGAGTTTAATCTCCACAACACACTTAAATCAGCCCTTTCCTTTCCCAAGCTCTCATAACATGCGCAGAGTCCCTCCGAATCTCTTGTGAAATAGTCTGATTTTTAAAAATCATTTCTGAAAGGCGATAAAGCCGAGAAATATGACAACGCGAGCGACCAGCTCGTATTTCATGTCTGATGACACAGGGTCTGGGGGGGGGGGGGGGGGGGAAGCTGATAGAAATGTGAAAAGTTGGAAAAAGCAGGAATTTCCCCCCTCGTTTCTCACTACCCCTGTTCGTGTGAGATGGAGTGGAGGGAGCAGCGCCCCTGCCCCATGCTGCTCCCTGGTAGGGGATTTCTCTGCCTCCACCGGTTTAAACGCGAAAGGGGTGAAGTGGAGTTACTTTGGATTAACCCCCCTGGAAAGGAGAGGAGAGGAGAGCTCGCAGGTCAGTGGGGAGTACTCACCTGGTGACATTTACCCACGGCTGCCTTGGCAAGATCTTAGCCCAGGGGCTGGCGAGGGCTCCCCAAGCCCTCCTCCAACCTCACCTTGGCTGGAGCCTGCGGACTGCATCTGCTTTTCCAGCACAGGGAGGATTTTGAGCTGGTTGGGGGGCTCTTGCTACCCTGATGGATGCAAAAATGAAAAATAAACCAGACCTCCGGCATTAAGCTCCGGCTCTCCTTGCCCATCATCCCGACCCTCTCGGGTTTTTTAACTGAAAATGGAGAGCCTCCTGGTAGCGCCTCTTTTAGAGGAGCTCCGGTCCTGGGCATGGGGAACCGCGTCCCTCCGTCAGGCTGCAGGGCAGATGCTCACGGAAAAGCACGGCTTCTAGGATAAGGGGAAAACCTCAGGCTTTGGGTGCGGGTTTTTAAGCGCCTTCATAATCTTCCAGTATCAGTAAAACACCCCTGATCGCAATTTCCCACGTCCGTTTTGTGTAGGCACGGACACACGGACACACGCCCGCCCGCTCTCATACAGACAGAGGGAAATGCGAAATACATTTTTCCTTCATTTCAGGCGGCTATTAGCACCCTTCAATGTTATTATTAGCCTGTTAATATAGACTTCCATCCCTATACACTTCAGGAAGGATTCGCGATGATTTATCGTTCCTAGAAATCTCTTTGCCCTTCATTTTAAATATCCTTCAGTGTTGGGGTGAGAGGGAGAAGGGCGGAGGGGTAATAGATTAAAGGAGGCGAATTGATCCAGGCTGTTACAGCTGAAGTCCAGAGAAACACTTTTGCCGTAAGCACAGAGCCCACCTTTCCCTTAACCAACATTTACGCCGCCATCGGACCCTCTTGCAATAAACGGATTTATCATCATAACTTGGGAAAGCCGACGCCGTTACCCCGCATCGCCGGGGCTGGGAGCCGCACCGAGCCCCAGCCCCGTGTCAATCATTGGCTTCGGGGCAGGGAAAAAACCCGAAATCGTCGGGTTTTCGATTGACACGCACAGACACCGTGGGCACCCACATGTGAGGTGCGGGGGGGGGCACGGGGGCTGAAAACGCGAGGGATTCCTTTTTTGCCCCTTTTCTTTTCCACAGGCAATAAATTCAAGGCTATAAAAATCAAAGAAAGCTAATGTAAGTTTTATTAAACTATTTAACCATCACAAGTTTAAGGCATTCTGTAACAAAGCCGGATCAGTGGCGCACTGTATTTTACTAGCCTTGTAAAGTTAAATGAAGGCTTCTGATTTCAGCAATGTGGGGAACTATTTTAGCCCAAGCAAAGCAACCCTGGGATTATGCCGCGAAACATGCGAACATATGTTCATATGCAGAGATATTTTTGAGAAATTTATGTATATACATAAGCATAAAGTCCGAGGCAGGCTTTGGCTGTACAGAGGGGCTGCGGCTCGGCAGCTTGCTGGTCAAAGTTGCCATGCCACGTCCATGCCAGTGACATTTTAAATTTCATATTTACCCCCATTATTTTACCATGTTAACAATCCACTTTCCCATCCCGGCTGGTTAATTATTTATAACCCCCTCCCCACCACTCTTGCTACCTAGATCCATCTCTTTCTTTACAAAACCGCGTATACGTGTGCGTTTGTGCCTCCGCGCCTGCGGTGCACGCACACGTATGTGTGTACATGAAATCACGGCCGGGGGGGCGGTGGGGTTGTACTTATTCTCCGGTTTTTTGCTATCGCACTCTGGAGCCCGAGTGGCAAAGAATAGCTTTTATCTCTATTCCCCCGTGATGGTTATTAAAGGCAAAGCGAGCACATCAGCATCTTTCTCTAAAAAAAAATAATAAAAAAAATCCGGCCCCCCCTCCTGCCCCCCCAATATTTCAGGAGCAAATCTGGGAAGGGATATGAGCCCCAGCTCTGCCCGTTTGGTGCCTTTTCGAAACTCCTGACGTTTTGCAACATTGCATAAACATAAAACAATCCATCCTTGATATGGAATGCAAGGGCGGATGACAGCGCAGCGCAGCCCCCTCGGCTTCGATTGATTTACGCCGAGACTGACGCTTTATCAGGCACACGAAAAAAGTTTGACCAATCATTTTGCTGGGAGCTCACAACACAGCAGCCCAACTGTACTTTGTTGGCTGGGAAGTTGGAGAAGGGGGTAGAGTACAAATCTAGATCTGTCCTATATATTTTTTTCCCTTCATTGAACCGTGCTTTGTATGATGTCTGAGAATGTCCATTTCTGGGACTCTTAGCAATTATTATGTCGACTCCATTATAAGTCATGAAAGCGAAGACTCGCCTTCAGCTAAATTTTCATCTGGGCAATATACGAGTTCCAGGCAAGCTGGGCACAATGAGCATCTAGAATTCCCCTCCTGTAGTTTTCAGCCAAAACCTCCAGTTTTCAGCGCCTCCTGGACTCCTTTGAATCCACATTCTTCTGGTACCCTTCCTGCCGTCTACCATCCATATATTCAACATCAAAGCGTCCCATCTGATAGCAGGTATCTACGGAGCTGGCTGGATCCAGTGCCCAGAGCAGAGAACCTCCCCGGGCAGGGCTCTGTTAAGGCAGAGCCGCTGCTGGGCCGTCCCGGGGATGTCCATAAACAGGGAACACAGGAGTACAATTTAGAAACTTCTGCTGCAAGGGAAGGGATCGTTTCCAATCAAAGGCCCAGCTTCGAGGACAATAAAGTTTGTGAAGGAAGCGAAGACAAAGACAGGACAGATCAAAGTAAGTTATAAAAGTGAGGAAGTAAACAGTATAAAAGCTGGAGGAGGTGCAATAAAAGGGGACAATGCTGCGTAAAGTTTAAAATCAGGGCTTAAAGAAAAGTCTCAGCTTGCTGATGCCAACCTAAGGGGAGAGGTGGGGAGGGGAGAGGGGTGGCATTGTCTCTGCCGGTAAATAAAAATAAAAATAAAAATGAGCGTCGTCTCTGAGCTTAAACAGAGTCCAGAGCGGACAAAAGCTGGAGCGAGTCATCCTCTTTCCTACAGAGCTCTGGCTCCGGCAGCAGAGACCACTGTAGTAAGCGGGAGTAAATCTGCGCGGGTGCGGGCGGCGGGGACGGGGAGGGACGGGGGGAGCCGGGAGATGTCGGGGAGCGAGGCCGGGAAAGGGGAGCAGGGGGGGAGAAGGAGAAGAAGGGGGGAAAGAGGCGAAATTACGGAGGAAAAGTTCACGTGGGGGACGGAAAGAGCAGCGGGGGCTTTGCCGTGCCCGGAGCCCGGCGGAGCCCGGCGGAGGCGGGGACGGGCTCGCTCCCTCCGCCGCTCCTCTCGGGTCTGCGGTGGTGCTGCCTTTTTGTTCTCATTATTCCTCCTGTTTGTTTGTTTATTTGGGTTTTTTTAATTGCTTGTTTATTAAATGCAACAGAGCAGGGTATGAATATTTCAAAGCCACGCTCCTTCCTAGTGAAAAAAAAAAAAAAAGGAGGGGGGGGTGCTTCCAACTTAATTAGCTTTTATTTGTAATGTAGCCAGATTGGGGAAACAGTTAAACTTCAGCATGTGCTTTTTCCGCGAGGAGGCTTGTCTTTTTTTTCCCCTGAAATATAGAAAAAAAAAAATCATTCGCCTTGAAAATATTTAATAATACTGTCAATAATGCGATTAATAATACCATTATTAATAATAATGCTCATAATTATTATAGTAATGATAATACTAATAATGCGGTGGCGTCTGAGTGAGAAAGACTCGGTATCTCCACCTCGTGCCGGTCCGGTCGGTACCTGGTTGCCATCTGGAAGGTGAAGGGGAGCCGAAGCCCGAGCAGGAGGCAGAGGGAGAAACTTGGCTTCGCCCCCGCGGTGAACACCGCGCCGCGAAAGCCGGAGTTTCCCCGGCTGGCAGAGGAGCAGCCCCCGCCGGGGGTACAACTCCTCGGAGCCTCCCACGGTCCTTTTTCCCCTTGAATTAACTTCGGTTTCCCCCCCTCCATTGGAACAGAAATTGCCATTGCAACCCTACGATTAAAACCACAGTATCTTCTCGCCCCTCACGGATTCCTCCCCTCCTTGTGCAGGATGTTACCGTGACTTTTTTTCCCCCCCCTATCATTTAACTTGCGCGCAGACACACAGGCGCGCACACACACTCACACACACACAAAAAGAAAGTCCTATTCTATTGTACTGGGCAGAGATCCAGAACAAACTGCAACCGTGAGGTGAATGATTTGAGAGAATTAAATATCCAGGTTCTGTGCTCAATGTCCCTGAAATTGAATATATAAAAATCTTGTCCAAGAAAATGTTATTAAGTTATAAGTAAGTGCAGGGACCCGCGCGAGGAGGATGCTGTGTGGTTTCTATGGCATGTGGTTACGATGCATATTTTGTTTTAAATAATAGTTTAATTTGGGCTGATGTTGAGAGGCTGCCAGGGCTGGAAGACGAAGCTCTTTTGCAGAAAGTACTCCCACCGATTTCCCTGACTCTTTCAATTTTTGAAAGTATTTCGCAATAATGAATCCCCGCCCTGTGTATGGCACAGGGCTCTGTTAATTTATTTGCTGGATTTTAAAGAAAAGATGTGCCAGGACCTCTTCCCTTTCGCTTTTCTGTTTGGGGATGTGTGTATAGTGAATAGATAAAGCACCGCTGGCGTTTAAAATATCTTCTACTTTAACGACCCAAGATACGACCGAAAAATAAAACCAAACCGAATAAAAATCCGTTATGAAGCAGAGCCCTCCATTGCCATTAAAGGATGGGTAGCAGGATTAACAGTATCAATTATTAACAGCTTTCTTCCTCTTTAATATTTAATTCTGCATATTAGATCAAGTCAATTACATTAAGGAAATAGCCGTGCAAATTTGTAAGAGGCAGTACTTACAGGGGAAGATTAACCGGATTATTTTTTAAAAAATATTCAATATATTTCATTTTACGTAGAGGAAACGTTCTGATGGCGCGCGCGCGTGTGTATGTATATATTTATAATGGTCCATTTAATTGGTGTAAAGGTTTATGGCTTCAGTCATCATTTCAGAGGAGGCAAAGGAAATAAAATAGAAATACGTGGTCCGTCTATAACCCTTCGTTTTA